ATAAATATTTAAATATTAAAAAAAAAATGTATACAAATATTATTTATAAACAATTTATAATTACAACCTTTTTCATTGTAGTGCTGAAAAGCTTCTGATTGGTCAGTCCAGCGATCTGAATCTGTCTATACAGTGAACAGTCACTGTGTGTGATGTGTCAGACACTCTTTATATTCTTAATATAACTGTATAGTTATATATTGTTTATATATTGTATATATATTTTTATATATTGTTATATACTGTATCTGTGGTGTTGAATCATATATGTGCGTCTGACCCTGAGAGAGTGTGAGATGTGTGTGTTTTACCACAGTAAAGAGTGACGTTACACAAAGCCACACAAGACTGAATGAATGAGTGAGTGAATGGATCTGTGTTTCCTTCAGCCCAGGTTCATAAGACGAATTAAAGGAGAGAATGTGTTTGTGAGACACAGTAAGCTGATGCTAGAGGTTGGTAAGGTCGCTGCATGGACGTGTTTTGACTCTATGCTGCTGTGATTTGATACTAATGTGTGTGTTTTGATTGCATTTATTTCGTTTCATAAGGCGAACTAAAGGAGTGAATGTGTGATGCTTTGATTGCATCAGATTCTCATATGTTCACTGAATTAAAGACAGTGCCGTGTTGTATTGGTAAAGGAGTTTATTTTGAGTGCTTGCTGAGGTTTGTGTTGTACTTACACTAGTCCTAATCTGGTTAACCCTCTGCTGCTGTTTGGTCATTTTAGACCGAAAAATTTAGTGTTTTGCTTTTTTAGAATTTTTTACATTTTACAATGTACAATTTTACTTCATCGGAATGGTACGAATCTTGGTAAGGGTTTTGGCACTTGCTATGTGAACACTATATATATATATATGTGTGTGTGTGTGTGTGTAAATAGATAGTCACACTTTGACAGATAGTCGCTGTCAAAAATGATCACATTGGAAATGAATGGAAAACAAATTTCATCTAGTGGAAGCGTTTGGTACTGCGCCTAAACAAAATCTTACTGAAAGCTAATTTTTTGAGATATCAACCTCAAATTTGGACACAGTTTTAGGGTAAAACATGTTTTGAATGATTGATTTTTGTGCATTTTTAATAATAATACATTTCTAAACTTCTAAAACTTTTTTTGTTTAACTTTTGTCACTTCAGCAATAATCTGCCAAGTGTCTTCTTTATAAAGGGATCGATCTTAAGTCTGTGCTCCTAAGCAGTTGAGATTTTTGACAGTTTCAGGTCTATGCTCATAAAATGGTTAACAGGTAATAAATGGATCGTAACTGTTCCATAAATACAATTTTTAAATCTCCTAAAAATGCTAAATATTAAATTTAAAAAATTATCAAACTAAAATATAGTACGTTCATGTCATAGAAAGAAAGATCAGTAATTTTTGAGCGAGCAGCACCAGAGCCTGGAATACGGACGAATCTCTGCTTCTTGTGTTTGTTCAGGAGATCGAGCAAACGCCAGACGAGCTGCTGAAGCATCAGACCAACATCAGCGAGCTGAAGCGCACGTTCCTGGAGGGAGGACCGGAGCGCACGGGGCTGACCGAGTGGGAGAAGCGTCTGTCCTCGTCTCCGCTGCGGTCTCCACGTCTGGACGAAGCGCCCATGATCGAGCCGCTGGAGCCGGACGAGGTGAGATCCATGTCTTCTGCAGCTAAAGTGGGTTCTTCTGAGTAATTTCTGTAATTGTGGCTGTTTTTTAAAAGAAGCCGTTCTTTGAAATGGATCTGAATGGAGCCGCTTTAGACGAGAGTGACAAACCATTTGCCGTCGACAGAAAGCCTCTTATTGATTTTGTTTTTGTGGCTGCAGTAAAATCAGAGTTCATCCGCTCCAGAAACACTCAGGGATCCGGCGTTTAGCTGCTCTAAGCACTTCAGATCAGGGAAAATCATTATGTGCCGCTTACATAAAACCAGACAGAGGGAAAGACGGGAAAAATTCTGTCCTTGATCAGCATCTGTGTGTTGTGTTTCTGAAGAATTCTCTCAACATCCTTCTGAATTGAGGAGAATTATTTTCATAAGAATTGTTTTCAAAGAATGTGGCACTAATTTTATTTGTAACATTTTTTGAGTGGTCAGATTTATATATATATGTGTGTGTGTGTGTGTGTGTGAGAGT